TTTTTGGACGAGAACCATGAAACATACCTGATATTGATCATAAAGTTCGCTCCAACAAGATACAAATGCTGCATTGAACAACTCTCGAGCAAGTGGTGTATACACACTAGCAAGATGATAGCACGCCCTAAGAGCATTAGAGGGGGATTCCTTCAACAATTCAACGCTGAGACGTCGCATCCATTCAGTCCAGTCTTCCTTGGTGGATCTTTGCGATGCTTCCCATGCTTTCTTCAAATGCTGCTGGTTAACAGGTTGCTTTTTAGCCGCACTCGTATCAGCCGAAATGATATCTTCGTTTTTGGTTTCTCTATCGTCCAAACCTTTTCCTAATTCTTGAGGAAGGTTCTCTCCTTTCAACAATTTGTTCACCAGCAGTTCGTAATTGTGATGACTAACTTTGTATCGAGTCAATACTTTGTTGATGATGGGAATAAATTTGGCAAAGTCCGTTCTCATTTGGAAAATCAAAGCACAGAGCAGCTCCATGGCGGCATTTCGGGTATCGTGAGGTAGACTCGGGATGACGCGCGTAAGAGGATGGATGATTCTTGACGCATAATCCGCCATACTGACTTTTTTGCAGAGTGCGGTAATGGTGAGAATAGCTTGTCTTCTTAACATCTGTGGTGCGTCTGGTTTCTCAAAGAAGCGAACCACAGCCGGAATCACAAGATGTAGATACTCTTCGATATTGGGACCAAAAGTGATGAACGCATGCAGCACCTTCAGAGTTGCCTGTCTTCTTTCGGAGGTATCGTTGTCAAAGATGAGAAGCATATGAGGAAGAAGGCGTGGAAGATAGACTTTGAACTCTCCATCTAGGGCCTTGGCAATGGCTTCGATCAAGGCGATGATGGTGATTTGGATATTAGAGACAGGCGTCCAGTAGTTATCGACAAGCTCAAAGATATCGTTCAAGTAGTTTCGAATATGCTGTTTAACAATGCTAACCAGGTTACCGAGTTCATGGAAATAGAAATCCAGCATGCCAGTGGTGCATGAGCGCATAATGGACAAGAAGCCAGGGATAATCAACGGTAAAAACTGGACGATACGAAGTCCCAACGTTTTGAAAATGGACATGATAGCTTGAATGACAGCGTGATGGTGAGAACTTAAGGATGGATCTCTAAGAATCTTCATAAGTGAATGGATCACCACTTGAGGGTAGTAATCATCGGATGACGGGCCAACACCCATCATCAACAGTGTCACATCGTTGCTGGCCAAAGATGGGTCGACCAAGGAATCGTCATTACCGCTAACTGTATTGGTCTGGGAAAAAAAGTGATGTAAATGGAGACGGTGAGTTAGTAAATACGATGCGTATAGGATCCGTCATGTACGCTTTTCTACGACTTACTTTGTTACGATATGGATCAAGAGCACCAAGAATACCCATCAGCTTTACCGTCTCACGTCTAATATCTGCACTTTGCTCAGTCTTGAGGATGGAGATCAAAATGTTGAGCAGTTGAGGATATTTGGCATATGGTTCAATGACAAAACCAGTGCTGCTAGCCAACTGTCCCAGCGTTTTGAGTGCGGCATCACGTTTAATACTGGAGCTTTGATCCTGAAGGGTATCTATAATGAGAGGCATCATCTCCTCTAAATGAGGTATCATGTCATCCCCAGCCACCTCTGAAAGTTCGCCTAAGGCAGCTAATACAGAAGATGCCACACCGGTGGAGGGATCTCGTGCATTGGGAAGCAGGACCTTGAGAATGGGTTCCACGTAAGGTTTGATCAAGCGTTGGGCGGCTGAAACGAGCAAACACAATAATCTGGCAGATTCTTCTTTGTTTCGTCCATTCACAGAGTATTCTAAATCAGTCAAGAGCTGAATCAACGTTTTTCGCAAAGACGGCATAACGTATGCTGGGTTGTAAGCTGTCAGTCTTCCGATAATGGTGATCGCAATCTCCCGAATAGCAAAGACTTCATCGTTGAGAGCAATGAACAGGGTTCGAACATTGTCGGCTTGGGCAAGATGACGATCGAAACGTTCATCCAGTGAAGAAAGTACGGTTTGGCGGATACTTGGATCCAGATCAGCAATACCAACAATCAAGAGCATTTCCAAAACCTCTCCGACTACTTTGATGGCATGCACGCTCGTCTGATTGCAGATGGGATCGCGCACAAAGAGTTGGCAACACGTTACTGCTGCAGCCTTGCGAATGTCAGCTACATCGTCTTCCAAATAGGTAACAATACAATCTCGAACGAATTCGTTCAAGACGTGGTTGGTGAAATCGAACAATCCCAATGTGGTCAAGGCTAGGACGATTGTTTCAACATCTTTTGTATCGCCAGTGGTGGCATCCCGTATGGGTCTTTCTAAAGTTTGCGCTGTATTCCTAGAAGCCGGTGCACCAGGGGCTCTATAAGGCTGACCACTGAGGGTCATGGAAATAACATTCAGCAGGCGATCTATCGAGTCAATGCATTAGCGAAGGGCAAATAGAAAAAAAAAAAAAAAGACCATCATCGATCGACAAATTTGTTTTTCCATTTTTTACCTTGAATGGTGGGCAGCAGCGGTTTAATATTTTCAGCTAAGCTCTTCATTGCTTGAACAAGGGGTTCTGATAAACCACAGTTGAACATGAGGTCCAATAGTTCATGCATGTATCGAGTCAAGGCTTGTCCTACAGCGACAGCAAGCATGCTAATGCACATAAACACAGCTGGTTCAATATCTTTTCGCTGGCGACTACGGGGAGGAGGAGGTGGGGGTCAGAGATACGTAGGATACGGTTACATGGTCTGTCAGTCCGATTTCTTACCTTCTAACAGCCAGGGTTTCTCTAATGTGCATTAAAATTGCATCCAAATAAGGGCTCATGCTGCTTTTTACTTCAACCGCGATATTACCAATGGCAATGAAAGCTAGCGAACAAGGGTCAGCCGCGAAAATCTAATACCTGATCAGCAAGATAGAGAGCTTACCGTCTTTCCTATCTTTTTCTTTTTTCAGCAAACTCAGCAGGTGGTTCATACAACGATGCAAATAATCTTCCATAAATACGGAGGGATCGTATCGCGCAAGAGTAGGTAATATGGAGACAACCGTTTTGCGGATCAGCTGATCTCTTGAATCCTTGAGTCTAAGAGCGATCTCACACACATCTCTGTACATGTCCGTCATGAACTGATAGACGTAGGTAGGCAAAGGAAGCGGTTAGGGTAATGTGCCGACGTAGTAGGAGCTAATATGTGTTGGTGATTCAAATCGAACAGTTTAGTTCAACTTACCATTCCAGCATGAAGTAGTAACTCGCGCATAGCAAGTAAACTACCGTGGGTAGCGTCTGCGCTGTTCAGCTTCAAGCCTTTGGTGATTTCTTCCCAGATGCGGTGATACCAGGCTCGTCGCTGAGGGCTTTCTCTTTGTTGAATAATCTCCAAACACTGACTCAAACATTCTGCTGCAGTTTCTCGAATAAGTTGTCTAGAATCTCTGATAGCGATCCATACCAAGTCGAGGATACGTGGAACACTGGCGTATATTAAAGTGGGTGAATTGATGGCTAATTCTCTTAGAACGAGCACAGCTGCTAATCGACTTCGATCACCTTGCAACCATTCCAATGCACGTTCAACTTGACCATCAACGAGATCTGCGGTGAAGGTAGATTGACTGGTGGCCAAGCGTCCGAGGACACGAGCAGCAGGAATCATGACAGAAGAGTCATTGTAAGGAAGGACGGATGAAAGATAATTATTGAACCGATCTGCATTTCTCTCAGGTTCAAGGTCGATCAATTTGTCTGTATAAATAATAGGCAAGGTATGCCCTTTTAGTTTCAGTGGAGAATCCACATGAGCTAAATTTAATTAAATCTTTTATGCAACCCACCTATAGCGACGATGGCACCGAGCTTTTCATGGTTATCGCTGCTCTGAATAAGTTGAAAGATGCGTGGATTGATGTCTGAAATGATTCTTGTCAAGTTTTCCTCAGGCTGTTCACGAGCAGCTGTGGCAACCTGGGAGTCAAAGAAAGTGGGTGAGCGGGTGGTGGCAAGGCATTAGCTTATGGCTAAAGCAGCAGAATTGACTTACAGCATCTCGTAAATCTTCAGCAGCTGTTAATCTTCTTTCTTCATACCTAATTGTATAGTACGGGTTAGCTAATGAAGGTGTTGCATGGTTCGGCAAGTGCACATAGTCGCCGAGTTTGCCGTACGGGGTGGATAATATGGTGTTTTGCTGGCAATGTAGTTGGAAGCTTACTTTGATTTTAGTTCCAGAAAGATTCGATCCAAATTGTCTTGGTTATTTGCAACTAAGACCGTCGCCATGCTGGATGACGGGGATCGACAATGGTGTCAATGTTCAACAACTCACTTATGGCGGTCTGCTGCGTCGCTTTGCAAGGTTCTGGACTGGCTTTTGGATGGTTTGCCCAGTGGTGGTACACGTGACCTGAACCATATCACCGCGTGATTGGCTCAAACTGCTCAGCATAGGTACCAGTTCGGAAAAAGCTTTCCAGCCTAAGTGTCGATGGTGAAAAGAAGCAAGCCACGCAACGATTGAATCTTGCATTCTTCAAATATGAACTTCACCTTTTTTTTTATTTTTCTCCAATTGTGCCCGACTTCCTCGTTAGTCAGCTTAGGGAATGGGCTAGCAGGCACCTTAACGCCATTCAAACTACATTCAGAAGATGGATGGGCTGATGGAATGGGTGCTCACCTTCTGTATATTGCCATATATTTGGATTTGCATCTAATAGCTTTTTTTGAATGAATTACGATGATTCATTGACTCTGCTCAGTCACTATGCATTTGGCTATTACCATATTTGCAATGCAATTTTTCCTTCATTAGGCACTTGAGCAACATACCACCCTCAGCGTGCATCTAGGCAAAAGCTTGTAGACATCGCTCACTTCACCAGCATATAAAAATGCAGCCGTGGTTGTTTAATGTGAAATTGGTGTAGTGTTGATTGCACTGCGTTTCGGTCACAAATCGGCGTGGTTTTGCGTCATGATACATAGAAATTCAACGAATATGCTAGTTATTTTTTTTTTTGAAGTTCTTGTTCCTGACGAGCCAAGTAAGTGTGGCTCAGCTCAGCTAATTCATGCACAGTGACCTTGCTAGGGAGAGCATGTTCCACACTGACATGGCATCCGGAAAAAGCAGGATTAATTAGTATGTCAGGGTCATGATCGTTTCAATAGGTCATTTAGGATGACGAAGTTGAGAGCTGTGGCTGGTGTAACTATACTTAACAATTCTTAATCCACTGATGACCCACCACATCATCTAGCAATAGTACTCAGAATTTTTTTTTTTGGGGGGGTATATAAAAAATATACAATAAAATGACCTCGATCAGGCCACATTGGTAAATGATGCCATGAAAAAATTAGGCGGTATACCGGATGGGGTTTTACAAAACGGAATTAGATTACCCAGTCATTACGTTCCTGGTTTTTGTCAGCGTAGTGCATACTGCTGCGTAGCATTGACACAAACGAGCGCTTCGATTTACGGAGTTCAGACATTGCATTTCTTTACACTTGATACGTCCGTCGGAGAGCAATGCTCGATCGTAGTGTTCCACCGAATGGATAATGCATCTTCTAGACGACCGTCTTAAAGTTTAGCCAATATATCTTCACTTCAACTTGAATATCCGATCAAGTCCGAAAGTACCGTCGGTAACTCTCACACAGCATTCTGAGCTCGGACATCCTTTGTTTAAAGGTATTATTTCTGTGTGACCAAATAGAGTGAATAATTGGAACAGCGGCGGATCTCCGGCCATGTGGTGCCCAAGCTTTCCGAGACATAACTCCTTAACTCTGGGCAGGCGCGGCGCCTATCAAGCACGTGACCTATGGCCATGCATACCATGACTGGAGAACTTTAATGCCATCACAGATCACTAATGCATGACGCTAATCCACTCAAATTCCTGATGTCCGGTACACATGCATACAAGATTTTCCAGATCTTTTCTATATCCAGATTTTTTGGTCAGGAATGCTAAGCTTGTATAACCAAGCTGGAAATAGTTTTGAGTCAATATCACAAGATTGAAAATTCCCAAGTGACCGAGTACCGGTGCTATTTCACGGCAATGGAAATGAAACGAATGATGAGAAAATCTGGTTACTCATGGTCACTCCCGAGTTTGGGATTCGCCTAGAGAATGTTTCCTTGATCGTGGCTGGAAGAACCCATATTTGGCGTGTAGCAGGTGCTTGTTAGTCGAGGAGTATGCGCCACATTAAAAGGTGATGAACGGGTGAGTTTGATATAACAAATGGTGGGTCCCGCCACGGGTTTAAGGAATCTGCCTGCATTCATTACCTTTAGCAATTCCCCCCAGGGGGGAAAAAGGTTGGTTTCTGCAAAAAGCCTGAAGCGGGGAAATCCTTGGGTCATTCGATATTGTCCGTTTTTGTCCTTTTCGGACATTGAAGGCTGTATAAGACCAAACCTGGTGTATTGCCAATTACTATGAGTCTTTGCAATAATGACCATCTCTCACAATGAGGAGAATGCCTTTGAATCTCACCATCCAAGACATGGCTGGCCGAGCTGGGCTATGAAATGGGTGGTCAGCGTTGACGCTGCCGTGCATGCGGACCTTCCGGCATATTGCCTTTAATAGGGAGTGCGCTGACATCATATAGAGTGTGCGGGGTTTTTTTTTTTTCCTTTCAGCAGTTCAACACCGATCTGCTACACATACTTTTTGTCTCCCCCCCCAAACGCATGGTGAACTTTACACCGATTGGCTATGAGAAAGATATGTAACAAATATCCTATTTATTCATTAATAATATTCGCTTAAAGGCACAATAGTATAGATCATTGCTTCAAGAGAAGGATTGGGGGTTCAAAAAGGTATTATCACATAATTGGGCGTAAATCAATAGCGAGGGGAAAAAGGAACCAGCCAAAAAAGTTATTCACAAGAAATAGCATGTCATATAAACAATGAGAAAGTAGATGTTTTGCCAGGGGAAAAAATCATATCAAGAATCTTTCTTAGATGGGAATTACCGTAATGACCGAATGACCGGATATCTGATGCCACCAAATTGCGCGTACCCACCGGTGAAATGGACGAATATCCTGTTATTCTGAAATGCAGGCTCTTGAATGTAAGTGTATTCAACTCCTGATTCCCATAATTTCTCGAGCATTGATTGATTATGGAATGGTACCCAGGTATTGCCTGATGCATAAAGCCATTGGATCCTTCGCGACATACAATTCCAATGGGAGAGACGTCTTTGTTGACAAGCGAGCCAGCTTGAAATATTACTTGGTATAAATAGAGGAATGTTTAGCGTCAATGGTATCTTGTTCAAACAGTTCCAATGACGCTTTAGACGAAGAGTAAGTGAAGAAAGAAAACATTGACCTCCTTTTATATATGTCTATTTTTTTAATTTTTTTTTTGGGGGGGAGGGAGGAAAGGGAAGAGCAAAACACAAAACGGAGGTCCATTGTGTGGGTGGGCTGCTCATACGGCGTCTCCGAGCAGCTGGGTTGAGCGCCAAGAATCAGGCTATTTCAAATTCAGCTCCAAGCCACATCAGCCATACCGTTACACGCCACAACCCTTAGAAAGCATGCATGCAGCCAAGAAACGATGATGAAGTTATTGAAGTCATATTTTGTTAAAACATTTGTCAAAATGGATATATGCAACAAATTTAGAAGATAGTTACGGGAGATCTAAACGTCCAAAAGTCAATGTTGGATCCAGTCTCACTTTCATTTCACTATGTCACACCCCCCCCCAATTCTCCCTCACAATCTTCCTTTGCTTTCCTTAATTTGATTTTTATTAAAACTAACGGGCTTTTGTGTTCATTCTTTCCTGGCATTTACCGTAGTTGGACTCCGTAAACTCGTTGTTGTAACGTTTAACAAACCCTCCGAATAGCCTTATCGTAGGGCACACAGTGGATTATGTCGAGTTCATCATCCACATCTCCGGTAAATGCAGTAAAGAGCTGATAATAGACACACCTGAAACAATAAAAGTGGTACACCAATCGTAACTCAACTGACCTTAAATGCGCACTGTCATTCTTTGCGCAGCCTGACCACCCTATATGTTTGTGCACGTGTGCGGCAACTCGGGCTTCAAGCACCATTATGGGCTGTTTGCAAATTGTCATCGTATTTTATTTATCTTTTACAGGTTGGTGGGGAGATCATCCCAGATGATCCCACCAATATTGGTGGAGTTAAAGTAATGAGGGGAAGTAATTGGTTCATGGGCGTAAAAAAAAAATAAGAGATATCTACTCCGCTTTAATAGCCTCGATAGTTTGTTTGTGTATGATAGGGTGCTTGATCTTGGTATCGAGTAGGTATCTGGTTGACGTGCGCAGGTGAAGTTCTAGGGCTATTATATACAGGACTATCTGATCTTGGAGGTGGAGGCATGAATTCACCAGGGTATCGTGGCGCTTGTGGGCGGTAATAGTCATGTCGAGTGGGGTGATAATTCTCACTCCCTGTAGCCGATTCGCCTGAAGGACGTCGGCCAAATGGTTCTTGTGCATGTTGTAATAAAGCGGTATGATCAGCCTCAGCGTAGGTATCATTTGCTTGATAATGTCCCATGTACGGCGAAACACTGGCATGCGTAGGGGCGGGTGAGTGGTATCGTGGTAAGGGTGACTGTTGCCAACGGCCATGACTGAAACCAGTCAGATCACTGCCCATGGAAGAGTTACTGCCTCGCCTTCCAAGTGGTGGAGTCATGCCGCTGCCAAAGTGTGGATCTGAATACGGTGTCCTTGGCAGTGAGTGGTACGAACTTCCGTGGATAAGCTTCTCCTCTTGGAAGTGATCGACAACTGGGAGAGTTGGCTTTCCCATACTAGTCAAAGGTATATTTTCCTTGATCCCTTTTCCTTGCCGCCCTCCTTTGGCTTGTCTCTTCTTGGCTTGCTTTTTTAGCAGTTCAGAGATCCTGATCCGATGGATGGTCAGGTTAGCGTTCAGGTGCCTTACATGCACTCATCTCATCCCAATCTGATCGAACGGATCTTACCTTTTATCTACTTTGTGACAACAATATTCTTTCAAGTTGCCTTGAATGTGACACAGTAGAGGAATGTAGAGAATAGCTGCCACACAGATCATGAAAAAGGAGATGACGAAAATCACAAAGGAGAACGCCATGGTATAAGTCATCATTTTGGCGATGACATCCTTGCTCATAGAGTCAAGAAGGGACTGTAGCTGAAGTGAATGGTTGTTGTCTATCCATTGTTTTAAAAGAGCATAAAGTGTGACAGCGTTAATGACTTGACGTGGTGCTTCTGCCAATAAAAGTCTTTTCCATCCTGAACAAAGGGTGAATATAAAGGTTAGTGCGACTCTAATTTAAACACCAGTTTTGAAAAGATGGTCTTTTCAAGATGGCAAAACCCTCAAGGGCATCGTTACCTTTCAATGTGAAAAACACAAAAAATGCAATTTCATCGGTGGTCTTCTTTGAGTTCTGAATTTTGCAGAAGAAGCAATAATAATTGTAGTCCTTGAGCGAGTAATAACGACTGGCAAACACCGAGGTAAATGTATAAGAAATATCACGAGAAGCGACAATAGTTCGACCTTTCCGAATATCCCAGAAGAGCAGCAAAAATGAGATCAAAATAGCACCCAAGAAAATGTATTTGGACACATCAATGGATATGCCAATATCGATTTCACTCAAAGTGGTAGTGCTACCCACCACCAGCAACGACACTGCGGAGAATGTTGGTGGTCATGTTTCATTGTAATAATTTGGCTTTAAAAGGTAAATGGCACGTACCAGCAGTCCACATATCGGCCGCGTAGACAAGAACAGATTTGAGGACAACCAAGAATAAAAGCATATATTTCGTTCTGGTCAAGCAAGAGGGATCGTGGAATTCGTCAACGTCGACATAGTCAAATTTGTGATCTTGTACCTTTTCACGTTTCCATTTTGGTCCCGCCGTTGGAGCACCCTATTTGACAGAGAAGCTACATTAGACAACAAGTCGATGAAGCGGAAGCTACGGTAGCTTTTCATACGCATGACAATGCGGGAATGAACCATTACCATGATCTGTTGTTGGAAAAAGGGAGAGGACTGAGTTGAAAAAATTCAATGAAAAAAAAAAAGGTAAGAATAGCAACGCGAGCTCGACTTTTTCTATAAATTGGGTTCCCCTGTTCAGTTCCCGAGCAGCCACCACTGATTTATGAGTGCAGTGCTTTTGCAAGGAGACTTGACCGTTCAGACTAATGGTATGTCAATCAAGACCGTTGTAACCTGCTTGCACGAATTCAATTTTTTTTTTTGATTCTTTTGATCCTCTTCAGATCAGCAGCCTAATCCATGCCATGGTAACCCAATCGTTCATGACCGCCCAACTCAATAAAATCTTGAATTTTATAGTTCTAAACCCGTTTGCCCCAATAGGACTTACTCTGTACAAGGAAGGCAAAGAAACAACACTTGAAACAGAACAATCTAGACTTGCCCGCTTTTTAGTTCAATATGAATTGATTCGTGTCTCGCCATTAGCGAGTGTTAAGAAGTACTTGTTGGTAAACAGTCGATGGCGCGTGTAAGTTGTTGTTTGGTTGGAATGCATGTAAACATTGGCATTAATAATTCATCGTATTGAAAGATATGTCGATCCCTCGTCAAATGAATTGTCAAGTTTATTTAAAAAGATATTTCAGTGCCATCCAGTACGTTCAAACTTGCCAACATTAAATCAGTCCCCTGATCTCGAAATCTCACCCTTGTTTTTCAAAGCTACTGCCTTCAGGAGACACCAGATATTCTATGCTTCTTAAAGTTCGAGAACTCAGTTCAATGTTTTTATCGACAGCGAAATTGGATAACCCGTTTATCGTTGGCAAAGATGGTAAGCAGCCATATGGCATATTGAACGCCCTTTCATGTATCGGACTTTGAGCTCAACCATATCTTTTAATAGCGGACGATCTATTGTTTCCACTACCATCGACTTCATATTTTCTCATTTATGGTGAGAAACTACCGGAATCTCCATCACTTTGCATATATGCCTCGCTACTACACGAACCAAATGAATTCGTTAATATATTCGAACACACAATGTCTAATTCGTGCATCAAACCTGACCGCCGCGAGGAGGCAATGCAGGCATTAGACAGATCAATGGAGGTAATATGTCATCGAAGTGGGCTGAAGCGCTTTTCTACAGCCGAACACGATCATGGCAAGAAAGCTAAATTGGAAAAAGAGTGGGATTATATCAGCGCACTCGATAGAATCAAAGAAGAGAATTCCAAAACTGTCATTGAACGACAAATCTTCAAAAGCAAATCTACCAAGCAAAAGAAAGTGACTATGATTGCTGCGCCAACCGCTGTCATTGGCGATAAGTCTGCCCCATCGTCTCCATCCACTAGCAAGGAACAATCAGATTCTTACATAGACAACAGTCAGCCAACACGAGCAGCCGAAAAATATGAAAGAAGCCCAAGCATGCGTACTGGCTCTCCTGTCGCGGCCATCATCCCAGAGGTCAAAGATGTGTCATCCCGACCGACTTCAGTTACCGAGGTAAGATAATGTGAAAGAGGGGTTGTCAACGTGAGGTGGATGAGAATTTAATTAACATCACCTACAGTCTACGACAACACGGCGAAAGGATGAGCCTACGGAAGCGGAAAACAAAAAGGTAAGTGACAAAAGCAGACAAAGAAGTTGACGGTTAAAGACAATTAATTTGCCTTTTTTACTCCTGTCTGAAAAAAGGTACTGAAGAAATTGGTTTGGGACAAACTCTTACAGCGTGGATATGTAAAGAGAGACGAAAATACCAAGGCATACTATCATCAAGTATATCAAAGCTCGCAATTCATTCTGGTGAGTTACAGTTCCGGACCATCTTACTTAATTGTCTTGTCACTAACGGTGGACCATCACAGCGAAATATCATCAAGAAAAAAATACTTCCTGTAGATATGTTGGATTCTGTTGTTGAAAAGCATTTTGAATTCTATATGAGTATGGAGGGGTTTGCCAACTTGCCCAACCCGGACCAGTAGGCAAATAGAAAATTAGGCTCCGTGATCACGTACCGATGACGGTAATCATAGACACTGTTTCTCAAAACTGAAAGGGAACCAAAAGCGTGCTGGCCTTCTAAACTGATGAAACAGGCCGTACTGGATATCTCCCTCGTGCTAGGCTGCACTCGGTCCATGGACCGGACTTTTGTACATTATGTAACATATGATAAAAATTTACTTTTTAACCTCAAAACCCTCGGCAGCATATCTTTAACGATTTCAATGCATTGGCTTCACATAACCGAAGTCATACCGACGAATGCATGCTTTGGTGGACGGGTGATGCAAGCCTTCAATGTATGCATGTGACTATTTCGTTTCCCGACGTAAGGGCCAATCCGACCGCTGCCCCCCGATCGGCCCATCCACCGCAACACGTCCCGGAGAACAGAAACTTGACGTGCCTAAAGAGCTTAAACTAGATAGTAAGTCCAAGTTACCAAAAACCACGGCTACAATACCGGCTGGGAAGCGTTATGACTCAATGTTGTCCTCCAAGATCTCATCGGACCTTCGCTCGGTCCCTTTCATTCTTCTTGTTTATTTTTTTTTCCAACCTGTCCTGATTTTAGCTCTTTGTCAAAATGATAGCTCAATCCCAAATGACCCCTCCGCCCACCAGCACCGACTATAGTCTACTATCACCTAATCTCAGCGACATCTTGAACGACGATCAAGTACTCAAATTCTATCAGAGCGTCAAAGATATCAAGGCTCAACAGTCGCCGACCAAAACAGCTGCCATGTTTTTTGCGTTTTGTCATGCTTTAAACCAACAAACGACATTTTTGAAAGTCCCCAACCTGAACCGGCTACTCTTTCGACAGGACGAGAAATGCTATTCCGTCGATGTGACTGGCACTGGCCAAGACAATGTCGATGCCTTATCTGATTTCTGTTTAGACATATTGAGGTTAGACCGATCGACAGCAAATACAATTTTACAAGATGTCATGAGCCTGCGACCCTCTGAAATGACATCCAAGCGTCACCCGTCCGATAAAAATGCAAAGCGAGAAGGCTCGCAATTTGCCAACGGAACAGTGGCCAAGAAGCCAAGAAAAGCTGGCTTGCAAGCCAAAGAATATGACGAAAGAAGTGAGTGCCACTTGCAGCTGCTGCGCCTACCTTCAGCCAACCCTGACAGCCACCGTTTTTTTTTTGTCTTTTATTAATTCAGAACTCGGAATGCTGAATGATTTGTTACGAATATCTGATCACGATCTTAAACAACTTGCCAAAGTCGTAGAAGATACCGTTGGCAAGATAATAAAAGGCGAAGTCCCTGATGACGAGAAGGATATGGACGCTCTCGCCATGTTTTCCAAATACGCCAATGCAGCGGCTCACATGGAAACAGACTTTGCACCTAGAAACGCTGGATTTTACTACAACCACGAATACTTCCAATTATACCAAGCATATCGAAAATATGAGAAAGAAAGAGAACAGTTGAATCACGCTGGCGCTTCAGTCGATACTCGATCCATCTCAGTGCAATGCCGGTCCGAGCTTGAGAAAAAACTTCAAACTACAAATTGGGAGGCGATACGGAGACGATTGACCATTGGTGAAAGAATAACGGCTTTAGCGCAAGCGATTGGACCTGGCTACCTGCTTCTAAGTCGACAGGTGTCTGGTCGTAAGCTATTGCATACCTTCAGCACAGTTGAATGGGTCAAATTTATGAACGAGCTATCCCAGCCTGAGCATATAGAGGCAGTTAGCACATTGAAATATAGACTAGCAGCCGAAAACTTGTATGCACCTACCATGTAAATGATACCGAGCAGGCGGGTTGTGTACAGTTTTCAAAATTCTGCTCATTTTGCTTTGTATACCTTTTCATCGTTTACTCTGTAGCATTTTCATTCCCATGTTTTTCTCTCCACAGATAAATTTTTTTTGGTGTTTTTTAACGTAACGATGTCGTTGAACCTGATGGAAAACTACGGGGGGTGCTGGTCGAACACACGGACCAACCCAAGCTTTTGGAGACGATCACCTGACACTTCACATTACGAAAAAATTCAGTAAGGCTATTTGGACGACGGTTGCAACTTGAACGTTGGCTGAATGCATGTCACATATCCTACGACGATTACCATATTCAATTGCCCACCAGCGTCGCTACTACGTAACTGACCGAATCCCGAGTTACGCGGGATGGTGGACATCCATGGTCGACCAGGTACTTTTTAAAAGTTAATTCAGCCCTTACACCCCAAGCTTTCCCGGATGACTAACTTTCATGACTGTGCGGTTTTGATTGTGTAGCTTGCCCAGTCGCCAACTACAACGGAAATAGACACTGTTAGTCCAGGAAAAGTAGTACTTCCTGAAAAGCACGAAGAGCGGCAACGAGTGATTATTCCTTTTGGTCAGGAATCTACCGAGGATATACCGCAGCCTATAACGAGCCAGGCGCGAGCGTTTGTGGAAATAGACGGCCAACGCATACTCATACCTGAAAAGCCTGAAGCACCAGATAATTGCTGTATGAGCGGATGTGCTCATTGGTATGTATGATACGGTGATAAATCGGTTGGCGGGTGGGCCTTTGACTAATGCGTTTTTTGCAGTGTTTGGGATATATACCAGGAGGAGATGGAGGATTACCGAGAGGAGAAGAATGCATTACGAAAGCGACTTATAGCAGCCAAAGTCATGGTTCCACCGGAGTTGCTACCTAAGCACGAAAGGGATGCCACCGATGATCTTGATCCTGGTATGAAGGCCTTTTTGGCCCTAGAAAAGAAATTAGACAAACGCTGAGCAAGTCGCTCAAAACCCTTCAGCGCCGCGCCCTTGAATTGCTGTGTCATGGACGGCAACACTGTAATATAAAGAACCAAGCCTATGTGAAGGCTATTATCACCATTTCCTACCCATACCTAATTCATTCTTTTCTTCCCACTTTAACTTGGTGCAAATGTAGATAGGTACTTTTTATAAATTGCACGAGAAAATGTAGCATGCACAAATACAGTATCTTTTTGGACCAACTTTCCCTTGTGCTTAGAAGTACATGCAGTAGTCTCAGAATAAGCCTCAGCATCCAGCGCACGCTCAATTGCCTTAAATACCAGTGATCGCATCTGTACGTGCCATGCCCCTTGCCTCGGACCATTCCCCTTAGATAACAACTTAGCAGCTATGAAAAGATGCCGTTGGGTGAACGTGCGGCTCCGTGCAGGCCCCCTTTTGGCATTAGACTATTCTTATCCATCTACGCTAAACGATGTGCGAGAATGTCATTATCCAACCACCAAGTACTTTAAAAAAAAAGTAGCACTCCTTTAAACTGAAGCTTGGATTAAGAATAAGCTGGGGGCTAGAAAGCATGCTGAACGTCGCTCAACAGATGGACTGCCGTATTGGGAAAGTACTCGGGATGACTCTTGACCGTCCAAACAGATTGCGTATTGAACACCATCAACAAAAAAGGATAATATGCCGGGGAAAACAATGATATATATTTATAATGGAATGAGGAACAAGTACGATGTTTTGTTCGCCAGCGATGGGTAGTTGGGAAGGGGGAATTGGCACGGTATCGAAGCTGCATTATACTTTTGAGGTGTGTTTGGGATTAGGCAACAGTGGCAGGCTGATAGTCAACCAATTCCCTACCAGACAAATGTTTGTGTGAGAGATTTACCAAGTAAGGCGAGGAGAGGGGGGGAGTTATCTTACCAATCTGCGTCTTCCATGTCCTCATGACCAGACTGCTGCCATGATGCCACTAGACGGTCATACGCATCTGAAGCACGTAAGAGAGCCTCATTTGCCTCGGTCAGCGCTGAGATCTCATCCGTTTCATTGACAGACCACAGTTGCTCGTTGATATACTCGTAAAGCTGGCGGCATTCCCTGTGAGCGTCCTAAGGATAGGGCATGATAAGCCTCAACAACCTTCAGTGGATCGTTCTAAGATCATGCACTCAAATAAACCCACCTTGATCATTTCATTATTGGAAACATCTTGCTGTGCATTGTCCAGGAGATTGATCATATTGGACAGGAAATTCGACAGAGCTTTTGCTCGCATAACCGCCTGGTCAATGTTCATATCAAGCTGGGTAGACTACGATTCATGCGACGGTGGGGGGGATTGTTTAGAAAACGGGGGATATATTTGAGCAACTTCTGAGGTTGAGTTTCTACATACGCTGGATATGCTATAGCCAGCAACAATAGGCTGACGATGCATGTTGAAAGCAGAAGAAGGGTGGAATA